TATATATATATATATATATATATATATATATTACATGCATTTCCATCTACAAAATATATATGTATTTATTTCATGTATTTCTATCCATTAAAAATATACATATTTATTGCATTTATTTCTTTCAGATATGCTTAAATATTATTTTTACATTTTCCTGTGCAATGTAGCCAGTCTATGATCACTACTTCTACAAATGTTACAAACTACTAGAAATGTAAAACTAATTTTTTTAAGCGTTTTGCAACCATTATCCATTAAACAACAAAGAGCTTAAGTATGTCGCTTTATTTACAATGTACTGTCTGAGGTAGCGCTTACTTTTGCTCTGCTAACCAGAAATTCGAAATTGCTTTTAAGTAAAGAGTTAATTGTCGGAAGTTCTGACGCCACGCTTTGCTCACCAGTTCTATAGATTGTAGCGCAATCATTACTTGTTTCTTAACCATAAACAGATTGTCATATTATCTTGGTTGCCAACTTTCTACTCTTTTTGTTAAAATTTATTCTAGTTGTAGCTATGTTGATGTTTTCATGTATTATTTATTCATTAAAACTAATTTTTCACACCACTGTATTCAAATTATTTAAAAGTGCATATGCAACGCAACTTTGGTTCAGCTATGAATAGGATAAAGCCACCACACGATTTGGTAGTCTGCGCAGATTATTTGAAAACCGAATCACTTGTGCGCATGAACCCAAATTCTATTTTAAAAGTACTTGAGAGAAATTTATCATATATATCAGAGATACCAACTGCTCTGAACAAGCCAGAATAATTAAAAAAACGGTAAATAAATACAAAGTAAATTTTGCAAATATTTGACTATTTTTGCTTGTTTTTTGAAAGGAATTAGCATGACATGAGCAGAGATGCCAACTTGCTCCGGACAGCAAATATATATTTTAAAGTGCTAGTTTATCAATTGTGATTCTTGGTTTAATAAATTCAATTTAGTAGATTTTTATCCACCACTATTTCTAAATAATTCGTAGGCTTATAAAAATCACCACTTTATAGTTCGTATGTAATGTTATACATTTTAAAAAGAAAGCAAAAATAGTCAAATATTTGCATAATTTACTTTGTAGTAATTTACCTTTTTTTTTTAATTATTTTGGCGTGTCCGGAGCAGTTGGCATCTCTGCATGAGTTCTAAAAAGTGGTGAATCATATAAGCCTATGAATTATTTAGAGATAGTGGTGGATAAAAATCTACTAAATTGAATTTATTAAACCAAGAATCACAATTGATAAACTACCACTTTAAAATATTTGCTGTCCGGAGCAATTTGGCATCTCTGATATATTTGAGTATTGAATCTGTAGTGGTTGACAAGTGAATAAAACAAACCAATTATATTCATAAATGAAACAAATTTTTTGACATATATTTGCTACCACTTTCTAATTTTTAATAGATTTCATATTAAATGGTTCTTTCACTAATTGGTTCACCTTCATAATGGTCTGATCAAACTAACTGCAGAAAACCGTGTAGAGGCTTTCAGTTATAGGAGGCGTTGATAGGTGCCCAATGAAGTCAATATGCTAGGTCTTAGTTCCAGCTTTAAAGTGGTGAGGCTTTTAAAAAGTTGGCTAAATTACCAGAAGTTCATCTTTGCTCTTTAAATGCCTACCACTCTATAAAATATTTAGCCAAAATGGTAGCAGTTGGCAGACCAGTATTTTTGATAAAATTATCGAATAAAAATGGAAGTTTTAACACTAGCGACAAATTCCTGCTAGTTTTTATAAAATTTTGCCTGCTGCTTCTTTAAATTGTAATGTATAACTGACGAATTAATTTTTTGGAATATTGCAGGAAAACTTATCAAATTGCAATCAGTTAAAAGCCATTTCTTACATTTAATTGTTATTCATTTATTTTTTAAAGGAGTTATTTAAACTGAGTCAAAAAAATTTTAAACTTTTTTAACTATTTACATGTATGCCAAAAAGGACAGAAAATATGCATTTGCACAAATAACTTCTTTTCTAAAGCTTTTACCGGGATGTTTCGAAAATTCATTTCTTTCGAGGGAAGGATTTTTTAAATGTTGGCAAAATTAATTTAATTTCCGAAAGATTCAGGTTTTGATTGTCTATTACTCTTTAAAATATTTTGCAAAACGCGTAATAGTTTGCGGTCATTCAAATGTTATAATAATATAAGAACAAATCAAAAAAAAAAATTTATTTGAGCTCATAATTCTTTCGGAAACAGCAAAATCATGCATCGAGTCATAACAATCGATATTTTATTTTATAGGTAAATGAATATGGCAAAAGGAACAAAAATATTTTCACTTACATAACTTGATTCTTGTGACGAACCAACTGTTTTCGCCTGAAAAATATTTAAAAAAAAAATGATTAGTTTTATTAAAAAAATGTAAGTAAAATGATTTTTAAAAAATCAGATTAAAGCTAGAAAAGTATTTGAAAGTTTTTCGAATGATTTTTTAAAAATACATGCAAATAGTGGGCTAAAAGCCCACTAGAATTTGTATCCCAATATAAATGCTTCTAGCGTATTCTAATCGAGTGAAACAGTAGCTACGAAAGCTAATTACTGACTTCTTGGCGTATAGTTATGTATTAGTAACTTTAATTTTATTATTTACTGCAGTTATTAATTAGCATATTTGACTTGATTTTTATTAGAATATTGATTGATTAACTCCTCGAACTGTTGAGATAGAATCCTAGAACGTGAAGATCCAATCATTAGATCAAAAAATATTCAAGTCCGTTATCTTTTTTGCACTGTAATTCTCTGGTTTAATTGTTAATATTGCGAGTTACTGTACCAGTACTGACAACTGCCTAACGATACTAGGATTCATATACAATCTTCAATAAATTTAAAAAGTGGTCGCAAAATTAAGAGAATTAAAATGTAATTTAATGCGTTTTTACTCATTACCAGAGTTGCCAACTGTTCCGGACAAGACAGAATACTTAAAATGCGGTAGAGAACTAAAAATTAAGATTATGCCGACTTTTTAAAAGGCTCTATACAATTTAACTGTGGTCCTTTCCTTTGTTTATTAAAACTGGATACATGAAATACTTTCAAAATACATTGAGTTATAAACATATTGGGTTTAGCTTCATTATGGTAGCTATACAAGAATTTAAATACTTTGCTTCATAAATTAAAAGTTGCAAAACTAATAAGAGTATTTTAAATCAATTAACAAATCTATTGAAAAATGTTTCTATAATTAATAAAATAAATATTATGAGTTTTTTAGAGTTCATATGAAAGCTCAGATTTTAAAATTTTGTTTATGCTGTTTCCATCTGCTCTAGACTATGGTTGATACACTGTATGATGATTCACTGAGAAATTTCTAAGATTCACTAAGAACGATGATACACTGATGGATGATACTCTGATCGATGATTCACTGTGGATTCTCTGAGATTCTGCAAAGGATGATTAGGATGGCATTTGGAAAAAGTGAGTTCACAGTTGAGATCGAACCAGGGATCAGGGGGACAGCAGGCGAGTGTGTTAACCACTACTCCACGTCGATGCACTACTATTTGTGTTGATAGTGATGGTACGATGCATTTAACTGCGGTAAAAAAGCTAGTATAACTTAAACCTTTCAATTATTCAGAAGTGGTGATATGTAAAAACACTATAAATCGAATTTATTAAATCAAAAATCATACATTAAAAGACTATCACTCGAAAGTATTTATCCGCTGTCCGGAGCAAGTTGACATCTCTGTGTATATAAATAAAACTATTTTTGTGTGTTCTATATTGCATTAGTTTCTTCAAAACATTTTAGTAGCTATAATGATATAAAAATATTCAAAATTTACTCGAATTATTTGTTTCTAATAATCTTGGCTTTTCCAGTCACCGATTGACCCCCGTGGCGCTACGAACAAACTCAGTGCAGATCACCGGTCACTCCCATGGACATTCAACCAGTTGCACCATGGAAGTATTTTTCTATCATATTTCACAATTTATGGTGTAACTAAAATAAAATCATCTTACATTTAACTAAACTTTGGGATTATGAGAAACTTTGCACCAAATACAGTTAAAAATTTACCGAGTTTATTTACAGTGTATGTTTCCTCCTTTTTTGAGGGATATGGGGGGTGATATAAAAGGGGATGAATTGAATTTCTTTTAAACTGGCAAAGTGAGGCATTGTTTCCAATGTTTTATTTCAAGCTAAGTTGAATCAGGCCAATAATTTAGAGCTTATAAGAATTTCATAAACAAAAAGTACACATTTGAACTTGTATCTGTTCACGCATCTGGCACAGCTGTCAAAGTGATGCATTGGTTCCTACGAATTTTTTCAAACTGAATCAAAGAAGGCTATACATACAAACCAATCGAACGAATATTTCAAAAGATGTGAGAGTTTTTATGTATAAAAAAGAACTTCGTTAGACAATTCATGCACACATATTAAATCGTTACCCATGAGCATCTAAACGTGTAAGGTTTATTTTCCGAAGTAATTTTTTACACTAAATTGTTAGGACTAAATTTAGAAATTATACGCTTTTTATTTACAATTCGAACAATTATGTGCTTCAACTTATTTACGAATCCTACTTTGCACAAGAAGTAAATGATCCAAAAAAGTTTTCAACGTATTTTTTTTCCATACTGGAGTTAAAAATTGCTCTGGTGGAAAAATGGCGGACAAGTCCTCCTTAACTCCCTTGTTAACAGCATGCATACTCGTTGTGCATGCTGTCTGTGTGTCAGAGGTGACCATACACCATACTAGAGGCAACACACACTGTACAAGCCTCACTTTTATTGTCATCTTTTATCCTTAAGTTCAGACTACATTCGATTTATTAGCAATAGGTCTTGCCAGTGAATGGCACTTTCATTTTTGTTTTGCATACTTTATTATCATGGAATAAGCTATATCCATACCAAATTTCATTAATTTATATTCAGATATTTGGGAAAATGTCTTCCATCTCTTAATTTTGTCCACCAGTGTAGTAAAACTTCAACTCCATGCTGTCTCACTGTGTGATGAAGTTTTTTTTTTTTTTGGAGGGAGGGAGAAGTTTTAACNTTTTTTTTTTTTTTTTTTTTTTTTTTTTTTTTTTTGTAGGACGCTCGATGCCGGAGATATCTGTTTACATATGTTCCTAAACACTGAAAATGTAAATGCAATAAATATTGTAAATAAATTAAACTTACTGCTGACGCCAATCTTGACAAATCTACGTTATTAATCTGAACAATACCTTGACCGGATGGTGAAAAACTAACATTTTTATTAAGTGCACTTTTGAAGATGAGATTTCCATCTTGTACGACGATCCGAGGCCTGGAAAAAAATTATCCTTTTTTTTCAAAATAATAACCATAATTGTAATTTCAAAAAGTTTAAATTTAAGTTTTGGTATTAAATTATGCTAAATACAAAGCACTAACAATGTATATGACGCTGCAAATTAAAGTTCTAAATCTCAAATCATAATTTTTTTAATTAATTTATTTAATTCTTAGTAACTATACAAAACTGCACCTATTCAGACATCGTCTGCATGTGTGGGTTTAAATTATGTATCTATAATTTTAAAAAAAAATAAAAATAACATTACTAGAGAAATAAAAAAAATATGAAATTTTGTTTAATAAATTCTTTTTTTAGATAATTAAATTCAATAATATTTAGGTTTTATGAAATGTAATCGATTTTATTATTTAACTTCCTTCGGTGCCCTTTATTCGCCCTTTCCAAGGATTTCGTCGAAATTTGAGGGGAGATTAATCGGCATTTTACGATGTAATAAAGCCAAATATTTACATGCCTGGCAGTGCATATAAGGGTAAAAAATGCATGTCATGGGCACGTCAGGAAATTTTATTTTCGAGCCGTACTCAAAACAGTATTTTCCAAATACAGTTTTAAACTTACGTTTTCATATTTAAGGTGTGCACTATATAAATAAATATAAACTTTAAAAGACGAAAAATAAGCAACCAAAGGGAAAAAAAAATTCGAGTAAACAGAACCTTATTCAATAATTAATAAAAATTAAAAAAAAAGCGTCAAAATTGGAGGAACACAAAAGATATTTTTCATTCTGTTCCTTATTTTAATTCAAACATTTGGCTATATTAGTGACAGTTTAAATTGAATTATGAATATTCATGGTACACCCTTTTATTTATACCTTAAGAATCAATGATTACATGGTAATGAGTTTTTCTCATAGAAGATTTAACTTTTAAAGAGTTTAATATAAACAAAATATTTATTATATTAAAAGGAGAGGACTTAATTTTTTCCCTAACATCTGCAGGGTTATTATTTCTGCAATTATTATTATTATTTATGCCCTGTTTTTTTATCAAGATAAAATTAGTAAGCATACTTGTAAAAATGACTAGTTAAAAAAATTAAATATCAGATTTTTTTTTTTTTTTTTTTTTTTTTTTTTTTTTTTTTTTTTTACAAAAAAGAAAAAAGTGGATGCGCAAATGTTTTTTGGTTATGATTTATTATGAAGAAACCAGGTAGTTTATATATACCAATAACCAATACCACAACTTTATTGAGTATAATCTACCACAACTTTGTTTAGTATAATAATATTGACATATGCTTTAGAAATATAGATATAAATGGCATTTTTAAAGATAGAAAAATAGCTTACAGATAGATATATCTAAAGAAAAAGACAAAATATGTGCTACCATTTATTAATTTTTTTACATAAGTGTTTTTGATTTAAAGACTAAATCTTGGGCGAACCCACTAGAGCTTGTACAGAGTAACCAGATCAATTCGAACTCCAACTTTTTTTATTGCTAGACAGTTATGGGTTAAACTGTCATTTTAATTGTAATAAAAAAGTATATCCGTAATAATGTTTTTCCAGAATCTTTACCGCTCTCTTTATGTCTATTACAAAATTAAATTTAATGTTATTTCGAGGCCTGTTAACAAAATCAACTTTAAGTATTTTGAAAACCCTATTAGCTTTTGATAATCTCTGGAACATTTACCACATTCCTTGTTAATACGACTTAGACTACATCGGACATACTAGACGCGCTTTAAAATGTTCACCTGAGGAACATGAAAAATATGTCCGTTATCAAGAATACAAGAACGAAAAGTCATCAAAGGCTGAACTTTGTTGGAATCTTGGGCAAAAATTCAATTTTGATAATGACAAAATTATTTCCATCTCAGTCACATCACCTTAATATCTTGAAGCCCTGGAATTTTGTTTTAGTCAAATAAATACTGATTCCCTTGCTACTGACATACGTTCCTCAACACCCCTCCAGAGCACGCGGAATTACATTTTCGCCTGATTTGTCCCTCTCGGCCACTGTGATTTATCGGCCTCTGTTTGTCATCTTTTTCTCTCTCTCGGCTACTGTGGCTTGTCTAGTTTTGTTTCTCACCTTTATTTTTACATTTTTCGTCGGCAACTATGATTTTTATATTACAAATCACTTTCGTTTCTTCTCATTCACGTCTGGCATATCTTGAAAATGGGCGCCTATTTTTGAGCGCTTGAGACAGGTAGATTTTTTTCTGCTATTTATATATTTTTGTAGCTAATAAAGTTTTTAATCAGGTAATAAAGTATTATTTTTAAATTGTGTGCTAAAATTCGGTAAATATCTTAAAATTTGGAAATTTTGTCATGATACCTTAGAGCATGGCATAAAACCATTGATTCAGTTAAATTTACTGTTGCCAATCGATAGAAAAATATCAGAGCTTATGGTGGCCTCATATATATATATATATANATAGATATATATATATATTTCACTACCACTGAAATAAAAATTTGCTGGAGCTTCAAACAGTTGGAGTTTCTGCGTACTATATAAGATTACCACAATTCGTATGAAGGGTTGCTACTTTATACAGGAAAAGTTTAAGACTAGTGGGAATAAAATGTTTAAACTAAAATTATCATCGACTAAAAATATTTCTAAATTAAATTACTGTGTTACAACTGAATTTTTAAAATTAACGTGAAATTAAGGCCAATTAATTTTACGATTAGCAAGTGTAACATTGTTCAACACTTTTTAAGATTTTTCTAGACTGTGGTCCAACTTGGTAAATTTGGTTCGAATTGTTTTGCGTGGTAATTGATTAAAAAAATCAACAAAAATCACAGTTAATAATCGCACTTATAATCGCCTTTATAAGAAAAGATAAAGTATACGTTGAAACACACAAATCAACAAAATAAAGTTATTATATTGATTTGTAATTTTTAACATTGGCTTTTATCTACATTTCGTCCATCTTCACAAAGATTTTATCCTTTTCAATACAAAATGTCTGTTGTTATTTGTACATGCTATTGTACATTTATATAAATGTACTTTAAATTCGCATTTCTTTAATTTTTCTCATGAAGTTCTGTTTTTTAAACAATTTTTTCTTATCACGTATGGCGCAAAAAAGTTTTAATATTGACTAGTAAGTTTGTATATTGGCTTTCATCTTTATTATCATCTTCACAAACATTTTATCCTTCCTGATGTAAAATTTATTATTTTATTTATATGCATTGATAAATATATTTTTTTTCCTAAGGAATTATTTTCAAAATAAAATTTCTTTAAATTTTTTTCATGAAACTCTATTTTTTCTTATAGTTTATGACATGAAAAGTTTTTATATTGAGTTGTAACTTAATACGTTGGCATTCCTCTCTATTTTCATCTTCAGAAACATTTTATCCTTCCTGATAAGAAAAAAAATTGTCGGTTGTTACTTACATGTTATCATAATATTCATAAAAATATATTTATTTTTTCTGCAGAATTATTTTTGAATTCCTATTTTTTTAAGTTTTCATTGGGAATTTCTATTTTTTACCAATTATTTAAGTATTTCTAAAGTAAAAATTATAAACATGGAAAATTTTAAACATAAAATTCAACGAATGGAAAATCGTACTTGTTTAAACAAACTAGCTTTTATTTATTTATTTACTTTTTGCGTCATACAATTTTTTAATAATAACAATCATATAGTCCTTTTTAGATATTCATGCATTTTTTAAAATGAGAAAGAAAAAAAGGGGCATAGTTGTGGGGGGCGCATATAGGGGTCTGTAATCCTGTATTAAACCCTGAACACGTTCCATGCGAATAGTTGTACTTTTAGAACAAAGTTATTTTGCAAGTAATTTTTTTTTGCAAGTATTTTTGAATTCCTTTTTCTTTAAGTTTTTCTCAGAGATTTCTATTTTTTACCAATTATTTTAGCATTTCTAATGTAAAAATTATAGAAATAAAATTCAACGAGTGGAAAATCTGACTTATTTAAACAAACTAGCTTTTGTTTATTTATTACCTTTTTGCTTCATACAGTTTTTTAAAAATAAAAACCGTAGTCATTTTTAGGTATTCATGCATTTTTTAAAGTGAAAAAAAAGGGGCACAGTTGTGGGGTCCGTAATCCTGTATTAAACCTTGAACGTGCATGTTCAATGCTAATAGTTGCACTTTTAAAACCAATATATTTTGTAACTAACAATCTCAACTAAGTAAAGGAGATTTTTTATGACAATATAAAGATATATACATATTTATATCAATTGTTTACCTGTCTAAAAATGGATCACTTTGCTCAGAAGTACTAATCATGCAAAATTCAAGAAATATATAGCAGAAAATGAGTAGTTTCAAATTCCATGAATCAGTCATCATTACACTTCAGACTCTTCAGATTGAATTAAAACACAACCCCATCCAAAAACTACCGCAGAGTTTCTGAAATCACTGAAATCGAAGTGAAAGAAAACACCACCTGCAGCTGTTTTTATTGAAGATACGCCCCCCACCACGGACAGCATATTACTCTCTCCCCATATTATTTTTGTTTAAATATTTCACCGTGTAAAGTGGCACTAGGTGGTGTTTAACTCAGGCAAATATTAATTTACACTAATTATTTCGGTATTCATAATAATCAGGAATCGGAGATCGGAAAGAAAAATATCTAATTGTCCGATCGGAAGTGAATATTCCTAAGAACTTATTAATAAATTATATATATATATATATACCCGATACAATACACCAATAGTACAATAAATGTTGTGGAAGAGAATTTTATATGAGTAAGAAATATTGTAGAATAAAATTTACTAAATAAAAAATACTATGAGTTATAGAAATTAATTACGATAGTTTTAGAATTGTAAGGTTTTAAGAATAACGTTGCAGATAAATGACAAACTAGGACATCCGAATATTTTTTGTTCATACATGTATTAATATTTGATGTGCAAAATGAAAGTTTAAAATTTAGCTTAAAAGTTAATGATTGTTAATTTCAATGAATATTTTCAGGGTCCTCAAGGAAATCAAGCTNGCGTATGTGGTATATGAGTGGAAGAGGCATGGAGAGCTGTGACCGATGACGGAATGCAACGCACCATTATTGTAAACTTTTTTTATAAATTATATATACAACGAATTCTGAAAATATTAGTCAACAATCTTAATGTCTTAGTGCAATGGAGTGTACAATATTTTTTGTCATTCCATCTTTAGCTAACACAATTAAACTGGGTGGTTTGCCTACTCGAGAGCATGCCACGTATAATTGTCTGTGTGAAAAACATGGTGTGCTCAAAACTAAAACACACACAGACATTGTTTGGCCTTGTCAATGCAAATGCCAATCTAATGGGGGATCTGATGCGTTTTAATGGAATTTGCACATGTGTGGGTATAACAGGGATTCGTGGAAGTAATATACTTTCACCCCGGAATTTGTCATTTAAAATAATGACTTTGATAACGTTGTTGATTAATTCTTTAACGACTAATCGCGTGCAGTTGCACAGCCGTGGTGGGTTCAAATTACGAAGCAAAATAACGGGATATCCAAATTGGAGTTCTAAATTATGCAGTGGTATGCCTGGTAAATCCAATGAGTTTAAGAACTCAGTTGGAAAATTTGCATCTTTAATAGGATCGCAAACTGTATCAACGGATTTGTATGTCACCAAGTTACCTGGCAATAACTGTTGTATCTTCAGATTCAATTCGCTTACGTCCACATTTTTTGCTGATAAAATCGCCCTTTCTGCCAGTGAGCATCGGTGTGTGTGTACATCGGGAAATATTAGGTTAAAGAGAGCATCTTGTAAATCAATGATTGTGCAGAAATCGTCCGGTAATTTTATGCATCCAGTCTCTTCCTTAGTTACTTTTTAATCACCGATATCTAACAATTATTTTGAGAATGTTTCAGCAGATGGATCTTGAAGCATTTGGACGCGCATATTTACTTTTAGTTGAACATTTTCAACATTACTCCACAGTGGAGATGATTTCAAGCAAGCATTGATCTCATCAGCGTACGTTGAGCGCGGAATGACGGGAAGTATTTGTCTGAAATCACCTGAACTGCCGCCAAATAATTTGTCATTGTTTATTATATCTTTCAATGTCCTGTTCAACGCCTCAAGCGAATGTTTGAGTGCCATAGTGCATTTTTCCCAGATGATAATTTTACAGTGTTTCAACACTGGGGCCATAGAACCATAGTAGCTTCATTGGAGGTGATGTACCGGGCAATTTGGTACAGCGTTACTTCATCGTTGTTATTCATTGGAAGAGCAGTCACGTTGGTATTTTCAACTCGAAATACTACCATATCACTGCCTTTATTCACATACTTGCAAATATATTTGATGCAAGATTTTATATACTTTGATTTTATATACTTGCAAATATATTTGATTAAATTATTTTCATATTTATTGTTTTATGTGTTACAGTTTCTATGATTTATTGATTAGTTGAATGTATATTTTTGTTTTACTATAGTGTTTAGGGTGAAGATTAAAGTGCCATTAAAATGTTATTTTTTTCTCTTCAACGAAATTGATGAAGGTCGACGTTGGAGAGTGGGTTGTTCATATTTTATTGACATTAGAGATGAGCTTTGCTCTAAACTTTTTATTATGAATAATTCAATAGTATATTATTAATGATTAGATTGCATTTCTAGTGTTTATATTGTTTTCTTTTTTAAATTATGATATAATATTATTTTTATAGTGTATTTAAAATGCTTCTGAGGAAAAAAAAATATGGTTCAAACGTCAATTTAACTAGTGACGGCGAACAAAATAAAGTTTTTTTTTCAACTTTTGTTTCCTAATGGTTTATCGCGGTTAAATCGTTATAAGAAATTAAATTTTTCGGAACTTTCTTTTGAACCTAACGATGAAAAGTTTTAAAATAAAATTAAAGAAATTTGAAATTCTTTTACTTTTTCGGACTTGGTCAAAACTAAATATTCCTATTTAAAAAATGTGAAAACTTATATGTTACCCAAACAAAAGGACAGTTAACACTTAACAAAATATGTGAGTTTCCCTTATTACGATAGGCGAAATTGTTAACTCAGCTAAGTTTTTTACACTTGATACTGATTTACCATATGCTTTAGTAGGGTTGCAGACTTGCAAAGATTTTTGTTTGTTTATTGACTGCTAATTCTAAAAGTGACAACTTATCTTTGCACATTAGACAGCAGAATTATCAAAATGTTAAGGTTAAAAACAATGAAAAAGATGTTTCAGTAAGAATAAATGTCGAAAAAATAAAAGTTAAAGATGTTTCAGAAAAAGTAAACATCGAAAAAATAAAAGTTAAAGATGTTTCAGTAAAAGTAAACATTGAAAAAATAAAAAGAAAGAATGTCCAAAAAGTTCAAATGATTCGAAGATAGATCTAGGTAATGGATGCGTACATTATCAGGTTAATATCGACGAAAAAATATGTAAAGGGTAACAAAAAAAAAGAAAAAAAAGGAAAAATAGGAAAAAGAAAGAATGACCCAGAAACTGATTACAAAATAAATAAAAAGAATAATTTAAGTAAGCAAAATTTTGAAAAAGTACATGTATCAAAGCTTAGGAAATATCACAACCCACAAATGTTGAAATTAAATTCTGAATAAATAACACATGTTGTCCAGTTCATTTGCATAAAAATTTTGTATATTTTTGTGTGAAAAATTTTTTTGAAAATTTTAGTTGAATAGTTATATTTCATCAAGTAAATAATCATTTAACCACACAGAATCTTAAATTCTGATTAAATGACACTTGTTGTCCAGTTCGT